GTGTTTGTTTGAAGATTTTGTTTCTCTGTTGTTCACAATGGGAAGAGGAAAATTCAAGGCAAAGCCCACCGGTCAACGCCACTTCTCTACTCCTGAACAGATGCGTAAGATTTCTTCTTTTCAATTTTAATTTTGGTTTCTATTTATATTCCCGAAAGTATTCGATTAAACGCAAAAAAAAAAAAAAAAGATCTTTGTATTTGGTTTTAATGGGCCTTCTTCAAACATGTACCCGGTAATTTATGGTTGACAAATATAGTTGAAAATTGCATAATTGCTATTCAAATTTGTTAAATTTGATATTTTATTCTAGTGGTTTATTGAAAATATATGACCAAAAACGATGCTTGAAAAGCTAGAGTAGTTGTTTTGTTTAATCTAATTAGGATTAGGGTTAACAGGCGCTCTTTCTTCTGAAATCAATTTTGCAAGTACACTTCCTGAATAAAACCATGTTTTCTTTTGTTGCTGATCTTTTCCCACTTGTGTTTGCAGTTGCTGGCACTTCGACTCGTCCTCGCACTTTCAAGCGGGTATGCTTTCTCTCTCTCTCACACACACGTTTCTTACTTATTTAGGTTCTAAAACTATAAGAACTCTTTACTCTTTAATATTGTTAGCAAGAAGCTGAATACAAAGAGGAAGAAGAATCTGAGGAATCTAGACAGGAGTCTGAAGAAGAATCTGATGACGAAACTGAAGTAAGTTTATCATAAGTTCGAGTTTCTATTTTCCTTTTTTTTTTTTTTTGCATACGAATGGTTTGGAAATCTGAAAGAGGTATTATTGCCAACCAATAGCAAAAGCGCAAGGGAACTCAAGGTGTGATCGAGGTCAACAACCCTAATTTAGTGAAGCCAAAGAACTTGAAAGCTAGAGATCTCGATGTTAGTTTCACGAAGTCTCCTTATAAATTGTTTCAGTGATTGAATGCTATTGTAATTAATGCTTTATTTATGTATTGATTTTATTCACTCTTGTGTAGGCTGGTAAAACTACTGAACTTTCAAGGCGTGAAAGGTTTGTAACTTTATCCTATTTCTTTTTCGTCCGAATTCTGCTGTTAGACTTTTAAGTCGCAAGTCATGGTTTTTATGCGAATGATCCATCATATGTATTTTCTCTATTTGTTTACAGGGAGGAACTAGAAAAGCAGAGAGCCCATGAAAGATACATGAGGTTGCAAGAGCAAGGGAAAACAGAACAAGCAAGGAAAGATTTGGGTAAGTCAACCTGATATTGCTTTGCCTCTTACCTAACCTCCCTTGTTACATGGCTTACTAATTGCGTAAAGTTAATCTAATGGCTTAAGCATTGCAACATAATCATCCATCACCCCTTTCAACTCCGGTTGAAGGGCTAATTCACGCATGTTTTTTTTTTCTAGTTAGTTAGATGTTAGGGGAGTTGATTTCTGTAGGTTATAAACTTAAAATGCTTGAAGAGGCTGTAGTTGTTGCACATTAAACTGAGCAGATATGTTTCCCTGTGGGGAGATGAACATGCCGTGTGCTTTTAAAATCTTAATCATAAGAAATCGCTTCCCACATCCCAACTTACATGCAAATGTTAAGTGGAAAAACTGTAAAGCTGAGTCTGATTGCTTCCGCTTTGTGTGGTAGTAAGAGATTATTTCTGTGGGGTTTAGTGTACCGCCAATTTTCCTTGGCAAGAAGAACAAATGAAAGAACGACTAACTCAGAACCTCTGTAATGCAGAACGCCTAGCCCGTATTCGTCAACAGAGAGAAGAAGCTGCTAAAAAACGAGAGGAAGAAAAAGCCGGTAAGAATCTGGAGCCGCAACTATTGTTACCCTACTCTTTTTTTGACTTGTTGAGATGGATGAACATTTATACTTAAATTTGTTTCAGCGAGGGAGCAGAAGAAGGTCGAAGCTCGAAAATGACATTCCTTCTTGCAATGCTTCATATACAGCAAATGTTTCTTCCAGTAGATTATATGGGTGCTTTCTACAATTTAGCTAACAGTTGGTTTACATTCAAAGATTGGTCTTTTGTTATTTTATTTTTCGTTAAGATGTGATGGTTACAACTCAATACTCTATTGTTTTCCCTATTTGGTGGCTCGTATTTTGATATTATGTTTGTGTTTTTCCTTTGTCATATGCCTATCGAAAAATCCTTTTTTCCCCTACTTGTTAGGGTTAACTGGAATTTTTGAGTTGAGTTTAAATTTTCAATGTTTGAATAATCGAAAAATTAAAATGTCATTTTATGCTTTAGCTAAATTATTTTGCGATTTGATTCTTAATTTTCATATTTCTTCAAATCCTCTTATGTTTTAAGTCTGAATCATGTGTTATTAATCACGGTAGAATATACATGTAGCTTCAATTTCATTTGAATCATGTGTTATTAATCATGTATCTTCAATTTCTCTCTTTGATAACAAACTTTTTCTTTTTGTAATTTAATCCATAATTTTGTAAGATTTTTATCTTCAATTCCTCATTTATTTAACTCTGTTTTTTATTATTTTGAACATTCTCTATTACAATTATTATATCTATGTAATTTTTAATTTCTTTTTGTACAATGTTTTTTTAAATAGAATCCCTTAATTTTTCATTTTATTTAATTTGATTCTCCCATAATTTTTGTGAATTCTTTCTTACTCTCAATTCTTTTACTCTTGTGTGTTCCCATCAATAATTTTTCCTCAAGATTCATTCTTTAAAAGATGATAGTATATTATGTAATTGACCTCAAGGGTCTAGTCTTTTTGTTACAAAATGATTATCTTGCTCGTTTCACTAACATTTAGGGATCTGTAAAGCAATTTCACCAACAGGTTAAGATTAGGTGGTACTGGGAATCTTCGTAAAAACATAATTTCCAGGGAACATTTCCATGGTCGTGTCTTGGAAGAAACAACAAAGAATGTGTTATCTAGTGAAAGTGAAGTTCTATATCGAAAATTGAAATTCATTTATCAATAGGATCATAGTTGTTAGGACTAACGATAAGTGAAAAACAATAACATACAAATTTACATAGAAAATTCTTTCGGTTTTCTGGTAAGTGTTTTTTACTGTAATAATAATCAAATTTCAAAGGAACGCACATGATCTTGGCCTGCAAGATTTTCTCTTTGGTTTTGGTGGCTTCAAAGCTACCTTTATTGCAGCATCGAACACTGCCTTCACGTTCTGAAGAAACAGAAGAAAAGCAAAGTCAAGCCTTTTTTAAACACTTCCAATTCTACATCACCATTGAATTTCACTGACTGAGGTTACCTGTTGGGTTTTGGAACTGCATTCAATGTAAGTAACTGCTCCTATCATCTTCTTCAGTTCCTCTCCCTGCTCACCGAGTTTTCGTATGGATTCTCTTAGCATTAGTTGGAACAATATTATCTATGAACATTTATGTCTCGACCGGAAATCTCCGTGTCGTGATAATTTATGTTATTTAACTTACCTGAGCAGTTGATATTGCTGTTGATCCTGGGTGATCATTCAAGTAGTCCTTGTCACCTCTCAGATCTGGCATTCAATTAGAGAATAAAATGAAGAGGGAAAAAAACAAGATTTTTATGTGTAATGATGATGGCATAGATCATAGATTAGATTACCTAGTTTGGTTCCGACGAGCACAACTGGTACATTAGGAGCATAATGTCTTAGCTCAGGGATCCACTGTAAGCCAAGAAATAAAGCATTTTATGTCAATGTCGATGGAAAATAACAGAAGAAACTGGGAATTATAGCACCGGAACTTACCTTTTTGTAGATGTTTTCATAACTGGCCTTGCTTATTAGAGAGAACGCCAGCAAAAACACATCAGCTCCTCTATAACTAAGAGGCCTTAGCCTGTTGTAATCTTCTTGCCCTGGACTTTCGCAGGTCACAACATTGATTTGAACGATCAGTATAATGCTGTAAAAAACTTACCGGCAGTGTCCCACAGGCCAAGGTTCACTGTGTTACCATCGACCACCACATTGGCACTGAAGTTATCAAACACAGTTGGAACATAATCCTATTCAAAAAAAAAAAAAAAAAAAACAAACAAAACGAAACCCAGTTCATTAATCATCACTATTAATCACCATGGAATGGCTATATTTCACAACTCTCCCGTCGATATACCGTTGGGAAAGTGTTGCTGGTGTATGAAATGAGCATGCAAGTCTTCCCCACGGCTCCGTCCCCAACCGTAACGCACTTGATGAATCTCACCGTGCTCATTTCTTTTCCGTTGTTTCGATTTTCGAATGAGCTTCGATTCTATTGTTATAAACAACTGGGAGATGGTGAAGTATGAAAGGAAATGGAAGGCCGAGGGCCGACATTTTAACAACTTTGCTACGAACAAACAACAAACATCATCTATTTGAGACCCGATATGGAATTATTGCAGGGGGGGTTTCTTTTCTTTAAGTGCAAGGACGCAGCTAAAAATAGGTGACTATTAATGTGCGTTTGGTGCTGCTGGCGTGTTGGTTGGTTTAAGTGTTGAGGAAGGAGAACATGGGATTTGATGGAACTAATGATAATTATTTTGATAATAATCGCTTAACTAGACGATAAACCATGATCTGATTAATAACAAGTCAATACGTTCGGTCTATTAAAAAAAATAATCAGTACTAATTTGCTTGGCCATACTGTATGTAAATGATAGACTTCATTGAACTTATTCGATTGTACCAAGCTCTATTGTCATCAAACACTGCAATTGTGACCTTTGATAGGAGCAGGCTGCCGGAACAAAAAACCCCGTAAAATTCAGAAACTGATTTGAGTCCGTATCTCGTTCTGTTTATGGTTTTGATCTATTGAATTTAGTTCGATGTACTTAAACATGTTAGGTACAATCATGAAGCTATAAAAAGATTGCTGTTGTGACAAATCCTACAAAGGTATGCCAACAAAATAGTGTATTCAATCCACTAATTTAGGATTCTTCTGCCACTCCAGTTGTATTCCTGAAAAGGTTCAACCTTGTTTTAGTATGTACAACACAATTGTGAGCATTGGCCATGGAAATGAGTTTATTAATCAATCACAGATATCACTAAGGTTGGTGATACTCGCTTTGATGGTTGTGATGAATCCAGCTGCATCGTTACCGGTCCATCATTGACCAAGCTAACCTGTAAATAAGTATAATGATCAGAGTCAAAATACACCCTGAATAACGTGTATACTCGGAAAGCAAGAGAATTGAAACTTTGGTCAGAGGGACAGTGTGAAAGTCTCACCTTCATCATTGCTCCAAATACTCCATCTACACCAAATGACCAAAACGAATCAAAACAACTTCGAACACATTATTCATCATATACCAAATGAATTATGCTATGTTTGAAACCATCTTTTGCTCTATGAAAACTAGGAATGGGCACAACATCTCAAGTATCCTACTTGAACGTTCGGATTTCGGAAAACACCTAATTGAATAGTTCGAAAGAATCGAAACATTCATATTCAAATATTGATTGACATCGAACCTAAGGTTAGAATCTAAACATGAATGTGTTCACAAATGATTTAAAATTTACTTAAAAGAATGAACAAAAAAATCATTTACAAATCAACCAATGAATCAATGAACGGAGGGTAAATGGGAATAACCTTTTATTGCATCTGGTTTATAAGCTTTTCTGAATTTCTCAACCAAAAATTCATAGAAAGGCTTAGTTTTCTGTGGTGGCATTGCAACATGGAAGTCTGGTTTGTTACCCTTCAAGAACCCATACAATGTAAATTGACTCACTGCAGCGCCCCAAACAACTTTAGAACTCATAATTCAATAAACAATGAACAAATATATCCTTTTCAAAGCATAAAAATTACTTAGCAGAACTCCATAATCACGTTGCATGATCTGAAGAATCAAACCAAATATTAAAGTCACAAACTTGAGCCTTATGTGTAAAACTATGAGTTAATGTCAAGAATTTTGTGTTAGGGGACAGGGGTCGAGATAAAATTATAAAATTTCGAGTTAAAATCCGAAAAAAGAATGTGCTAAAAGGATTTAAATTGGATTTGGAAGGAGCCAAAAATGTATCTTTTTTTCATTAGAACAAGGTGCTAAAAGGTTCAAATTGAATTATTAAGTTTTGAAGGCCTAAAGTACAATTTGTCATTATAGTTACATTTAAGAAAAAAGTTATCTTCTTTTTCTTTCTTATTCTACTTACCTCTCCACCTAAAAATCAAGATAGTTACATTTCACCATGAATAAAGTATGAGAAAATAACTTCAGTGACCGAAAATGCCTTATAATATACGATTTTAACCAACTTTTTTTGGATTTGCGAAAATGACCAACAAATTCGCAACGCGAACTCCAATTTCGCAACTCAGTTTCTAAATTCGCATCGCGAATATGTAAATCGCATTGCGATTTTACGAATTCGCGTTGCGATTTTCCAAATTCACAACGCGAATATGTAAATCGCAACGCGAATTTGTAATTCGCAACACAGAAGTCAAATTCGCAACACATAAGTCAAATTCGCAAAGCGCGTTTATTTTCGCAACGCAAATTTTATTTTCGAATTCGAAACACAATATTAGTTTCGCAACACAAATGTAAACAATTAATCGCAAATCATAACCTAAAACCCTAAATCACAACTCAGTCTCATCTCCATCTCTCACTCTCTACGGCGACATCCGTCCCCATCTCTAACGAAATCCGTCCCCATCTCTGGCGAAATCAGTCTATCTTCATCTCTCAGAGCCACCCTTACAACCATTCACGGTCAGAAATGGAAAATCAACCACCGAGGGTTAGTTTTATTTAATTATTTTTATTTTGAAATTTTAGTATTATTATTAGATTTTTCATATTTAAATTGATGATAAATTTACTGGTAATTTCAGTAATAAATTAACCATTTCAGTAATAAATTAACCATTTCACTTAGATTGCTTAGTAAATTCATTCGGTTGCTACCAATACTGCTAAACTGTTTAGTCTTTAACCCTGTGAAGTTAGTATTTGTCTTTGTTTTGTCTTTTGGTTTAAGTAATGCAATTCATTCAAGTTTCAATTTACAGAAAACTATTTTGAAACCTAAATTCGCAACACGAAAATGAAAATCGCAACGCGATTTTAGTTTCGCGTTGCGATTTTCATTTTCGCATTGCGATTTTCATTTTCGCATTGCGATTTTTAGTTTCAAAAACTATTCTTCTTCTGCAAATTGAAACTTGAATGAATTGCATTACTCCAACCAAAATACAAATACAAATACTAACTTCACAGTGTTGCGAATTTCAGTTTCAAGAATAAACTACTACTCTTTATGTTGTCCTTGAACCTGCACTAAGCCTATATGTTGTCCTTTTAAATGTTTATATAAGTGCTTACTTCTGGAATGTTATCTGATGCATTTTGTGAACTATGATAGAATAATGACTTGGGTGAATACCGTGCAAGTTTGAAACATATTTGGCTTTGTTTTCACTGTTTAATATCATGTATATTTATAGTCTATAATTTGTAGTTTTTGGTATATCTAACTTGGTATGTTTATTGTTTTTGTAGAAAAATTTTTTGGCTTCATTGACCTTAAGGAATAAATTAAGCCTAGCCACTACAATTGCGTCGACGCTTACACATGTACAAAGAAAATTGTTTGAGGATACTTGCTTCGGGCCATGGCTGAAAATACAACATCCGGGTGGAGATGCTATATTGACCCATTTGTTTCTTCAGACCATGACTAACGATATACCCGAGAGGATACAACGTGGTGATGAAGAGATATGGTTTCATTTTCCTCTGCGTATACTTGTTTTGTGCGGGAGGAGTTTTGCTTAATCACTGGTCTACGCTTCGAACATGATGATGTAGGTCGGTACACTGGTCATATCGCCCGCCCATCATGGTTATCTTGGGTTTTTCCTGAGCTGGCAAAGGCGAAGCCGAGTTTACACGTCGACGACTTGAAGAGATTATTTGTTAAAGATGGTTTTACTCGGATGGATGACCTCGATGTTGTCCGAGTATGCCATTTATTACTTTTGCATGCCGACTTTTTAGGCAAAGAGGCCAGACAACCTATTTTTTAGGACCTAATATTATTGGTAGATGACCTAAATGCATGGAACCTGTTTCCGTGAGGTTCATATCTATGGAAAGCTACCTGGAAAAAGTTGTCGTCTACCTTTGAGGACCGAAAAAGTTTGCGCGGCCATGGTTCCAAATACACTTTGGCAGGCTTTATTTGGGCCTTTAAGGTAAGAATTTCTATATAATGTTTCCAAAATTATAATTAATTATTTAACAATTACTAATGTTTGTGTATTATATTGTTTGTAGATTTGGATATTTGAGGCTTTTCCCAGCATGCAGACATATGCAATCAAAAATTCAAATGATATTCCTAGGGCTATTTCCTGGAGGAGGATCCGACTGTTGGATTGGGAAGAGTTACTACCATATACGATGATGAATGATGTAAGTTAACACAAATACTACCATATATAAATAAGTTAATACTAGTAGACGTTTAACTTTGTTTGAGTTTTTATATTGCTAGGAGGCCAACTATCCATTACAGAGGCTGACACCCATAGAGGCTGAGCTTGCCACTGATTGGTGGCAAGCTAGTAAGCATTTTTTTTGATGGCACGGATAATGAGCAGCCCCCACTTCGAGAGCCATCACCTCACCCAGTGCCATCACCTGATCGAGCCGATTATACACCTCCACAATGAGAGCCATCACCTATTCAATCACATCATCGAGCCTCTTCTCAACCATCACCTCATGATAGGCGACTGGAAAAGATGCCACGACATTTATCTCCCTGTTCTCCACCTCCACGGGATGAGTTAGGTGAGTTACGTGATGAGGTCAATACTTTGCGTGAGGAGGTCGGTACTTTACGTGAAGACAATGGTGCATGGCGTGATGAGGTACAGTCTTTACGCAGTGAGGTAGAGGTTTTACGCGATGACAATGGTGCTTTACGTGGTGAGGTATCTACTTTATGTGATAAGGTAGCCGCTCTACGTGAGATTGCTACATCGTTGCAGAATGAGGTTCATACACTACACAGTGAGGTAAGTTTGTTTAATACTATACTAAAAATGCAAATAACATTTTTTTGGCATTATTTATTAGTTTATTTACTGATTTATGTATTAATTTATTTTTAACGGCCCGATAAGGTAGATACTTTACGTCGGGTTTTTATTGCACGACGGGGTTCACGCATCAGACGTCGTGCACGTGCCATTAAGTCTTCGTTCACCCCAATAGTTCAAAGACTCCGTAATAAGAAGCCCGTAGTACCTGTCATCATTCAAGAGGCCTCTCCTATCATTCAAGAGGCCCCTATCATCATTCAAGAGACCCCTGCCACCGTTCAAGAGGCCCCTGTCATCGTTCAAGAGGTCCATCCCACCGTTCGAGAGCCCGAATCACATGGCATAATATGTTGACATATTGATAAACCCCCTCAAGTGCCTGACATGATGGATAAGAGTTGGCTTTCGTATGAGTTACCGGTCAGTACCATTCCGGTATCTGAAGTAGAGAGGAGAACACTACCGGACACAATTCTAGATAATACCCTTTGGGCTAAGACCGCAGTTGATTTTTATCTACATGAGCGGAGCCAGGGATATTACGCTCCATCCCTTACAAATAATATCTCTCAAGTATTTATTTTTGAATATTTTAAAGGTGTTCATAAATAAAAATTTGATGTGCGTAATTGAATTATTATTTATGATTGCAGGCGTTTATCCCTGTTTTGGAACGTCGTCATTGGCTTCTTGCCGAGCTTCAAATTCCATCCCTGAAGACAATGGTATATGACAACATGTTGAATTATATACCATTATCTGATTTGAGAGATATTATTTGTAAGGGATGGAGCGCTCATTTGGCTAAATACTTGGATGCGATTGATTATTGGACTAATTCTAGAAACAAGAAGCCAAAGAAGTTCAAAGTTACAATGATTAGAGACGAGACCGCGCCATAACAAACGTAGGGAGCCAGAGGGGATTGTGGTCCTCTCGTATGCATGTTCTTGGAACATTTGACGACAGGAAGTAGACAGTTTCTACCTCCCATAGATAGAGATAGAGGTGCAGTAGGCTTGTGGTTTCGGTATTTTATGGCTAGAGCGATATATGCGAGACGCTGCCTACCTGCATCCGCGTGCTGAAAGTCTGCATAAACAACACAAATTGATAAGTTTGAGCAAGTGTTGTTAACATATATACTCTTTGTTGGTTTGAAAATATTTGGTTAAGTACCTAGATAATTTGTTGTTTGTTGGTTTTAGATGTGTAGAAAGTGTTGTTTGAGCAAATGTTTAGTTTCTGCAGGTTAATCCTGATCCTGAAGTGAGCTGCGTGAAATTGATGTATTTGTGCATAAACAACTGTCTACGTGAAATTGATGTATTTGTAAAAGTTGATTTGTAAAGTTGATTTTTTAATTGATGAGGAAATAAGAATTATTTTTTGCTTGTTTAGTTGATTTGTAAAAGTTGATTTGTTTAATTGATGTGTAAATAATTCTTATTTTTTGCTCGTTTAATTGATTTGTAAAAGTTGATTTGTTGTTTTAAATTTCAATCTGCATTATGTTGAAGGTAAAAAAGACATGTTGAAGGTACACTTTCGCAACACAAAAGTCAAATTCGTGTTGCGATTTCGCATTTTTGAATTTGACTTTCGCAACAATCGCAACAAAAAATCTGATAAGTGATAACAATTGAACAGATCATAGCAATGTTCAAACTCAAGTTACTAATGAATGTCTAACTGAAATGTATGCATTCATACATAAAATACGCATAATACAACGTTTGCACTAAGTTAATAAGTCCTAAAAGGTAAAGCAGGTTGTGATTGGAATTTTGATTTTGATT